AACCGAGGCAAAATTTCGCAGCCGGAGCTGGTCGTAACCTGAAAAGTTCGTTAACAGAAACGTTCGTAACCTGAGGTTCCACTGTACTACAATGCCCCTTAGAGCCAGAATCACACCATGCTCTGGTCCCATTCCTGAGCATCGGACTAGGACCAGAGACGCCCCAGTTCAAGTCCACTTGTAGCTATGAAAATTCACTGGGTGGCCTCGGGCCACTCACCCTCTCTCAGCCCAACCACAGGATTGATGTGGAGATAAAATGAAGGGAAACCCCATGTAAATTGCTTTGAGCTGTTGGAGAAAAGGCTGATATAAATCTAACAAATAAATGAAACAGAGTTGAGAGTTGAATTGGGAGGCTGCCTGATCTGGTGCCTGGGGGAAGGCTACTTTTGTTTTTATGGCTTGTTGTGAGTCACCTAGAACCATTATATGAGATAGGTGGCCATATAAGTCCGGTAAATAAATAAAACAAATAACATACGTGTAAACAGACATGTATGCTACTGAACAGCTTTGGGAATAGGCTTGTCTGTTTCCACAAGCATAATGCCAGAATAGTAACTTAACGTTTACTACTCACAATCTGGATCCCTTTTGTGAAAGCAGGAAGCCATCGTACACTAAGCAGACGCCAAACACGGTGATCCCTGTTTCTTTTACCAGCATTGCACAAGTCCCAAGAAATAAACTAAGCAGCAAAAAGGACGGAGAGGCAGTGGGAGGGAAATGTTCCCCAACATAAAGCTGATCCACACTCCTGCAAAGCAGAAGGAAAAGCCAATTGTGAAATGAAAACTGTACTGTAAAAATAGAAATAAAAATTCTCAACCCACTCCTGTAAAAACTGATATAACCACCCAGAGTTGCCTGGCAAGTAGGTGGCTTTATAAATTGAATAAATAAATCAATGGCTGGGTTAGATTTGGAACACAGTAGAAACAGGCAAGGAAGAATTATGTTCCTTCTCTATTGCCATGTTATTATCCTACAATCCATTCACATTGGAAGTGGCTTTTTCTTCTTTTTTCCTTTCTATAAATTTTATTACAAGATTATCAGGGTGTCGAGCACAGGAGGTCAACTTTGGGTGACTTTGGAAGGATAACTTTTAACATTTTTGGGTGGTCAGCAGTCATTACATGTGTGACTATAATGCAAAGTTGGCTGTATCATAGATGTTCAATGAGGTCACTCATTATTTTGGAAGGAAATTAAGAATCTGTTAAATCCAAAGGCAGAAAAAAAGGGGGAATTTACTGTATGACTGGATAAATATTTTCTTCTTTCTGGGGATGGGCAGAGGGAAAAGACACATGTTCACTCACACACAATGGAGAATGAGCAGAGAGGCTACCCAAACTATCTGTGCCAAGTTGGGTGAGAAGTGGGGAGATGCAAGAGAGAGATGGGGGGACAGCAGGGAACAGAGTAGACAACAGGTCCAGAGGATTTTATGGTGATAGGTGAGGAACTACTTCAGAAAGTAGTATATAGGAGGTGGAGAATATGCTAAAGAGGATATAAAGGGGCCACCCAACTTCTGATCTCCTCTACCTCCTAGGGGTATGCTGTGGGTAGGTGGGGACAAAAGGGGTAAGATGGTGGCCCTGTGGTTTAAGCCCCACCTCCTTTTTACATGCATTGCATGCATAACAAATGTAAAAAAGGGGTGAGGTTTTCACTGCATGGCCATAGCCCCCATCTTGACTTTCTTGGCCTTCCCATGGATGTTCCTACTCCCTTCCCCCACATTCAAAAGGGAGAAGGTTTACAGAAGTGCAGGGTTCAAAAGTCTCTTCTATCCCCTAAAGCAAGAAGGCTGGTAAATGCACAGATGGAAAAATGCTAGCACCCACACAGAGGTGATTGTCAAGACAGACTTCAGAAATAATGGACCCATCCATGATTGTGAGGGTGAAGTCCAAATGCAGATTTGGTCCATGGTATCCAAAGTTCTTTAAACTGGGGTCTGTTAAACCAAGGTTTCACTGTAATATAATTCAGTTTCCTTAACTCCCCAGTCATTCTAAGAAGGGAAGGGAAGAAAAAAAGACTATGAAGGAAGGAATTGGCCTTATCAATATAGATCCGAAAGGTTCACCATATCTTACTTAAAAACTACAAACATTCTATGACAAAAGACTCATACCTATTATAGGAGAGAAAAGCCAAAAGAAATAATAGACAGGCCAGAACATCTGCTCTGCCGACTATACCCGTTACCTAAAAAAAAAAGAATGGAAAAAGGCAAAATAAGTTACCAATTGCAATCAAATAGCAAGACTGAACTTCAAAGCTTCTGCAATGAATGTAGAATACACCATCATCACTTTTACTTTGAGAAATGTGTATATAGGATAAATGCTGCCTTAGGTTTGTTAAGGATTTGTTTTCATATCTCCCTAAGATATTTAGTGAACTTTCTGTTTGGCCATGGTGATAAAAATCAGTAAAATGATGTTATATGCTGAGACCATGTAAAAAAATATGGTCTCTTCAAATGACATCAAAAATAAGAATAGGTGAAGTCATTCAGGAAGCTTTCTAGGGAAGGCTTTTGTAAATGTTTACCTCAATCAGCTTTACCCATCCCATGTGGTTTTCCGTAAAGCATAATGGCAAGTCCTGAATACTTACTAATAATGCTTTTCTAATGTAACATATAATTAAACGCAGGGATGGTCTTAATGGGCCACATAAACGAACCCAGTAACTCATAACTGCGATACATTTCCCTACAGGGGCAGCCAAAAAAGTCAACTCTTTGAAGCCCCTCCCCTCTTTTCACACAATGTATGGGAAAGGGGAAGGGAACCCTACCATACAGTTGTCGCCGCCATTTTGACTTTTCTCATTGCCTCTGCAGATGTCCCTGTTTCTCTCTCAAAGATCAGGCAATGCCAAGATCATACCTATATTTTCATTACTACAAGAGATGCACTGAGAGTTTTGTCAGTCCCCCAAACGGGCAAGTTTCTTAATAATTTATTCATTTTATTATAACTTTTCCTAAATATCATGAACTTTAAAGACTTCTTTTGAAACTTGGCTCGTACTAAAGATCATTCATCTTCACTCTGAACTCTATTCATTTTTATTTTTAAAAAATCCAAGTGTGCTGTATTCTCCAACTAGCACACCTGCAGTCTCTCCCCAAATCTAATGATATGCAACCCAGACACACACACATAATCCTATTTAAATAATAGGGGAATGAAAAGACTGCTTGATTAATCCTGGGAAGTACTCAGAGAACTCAAGACTCCTTTGTAATGAACAGTTTTACTCTCCCTATAGTCCACAACCTTAAGCGTTCCAGGAGCTCCTCATTCTCGAACCATTCCACAATCGCAATGATCCCACATCTGCCACCTCCACCTTCCCAAAGAAAGCACTTGTAAACAGAAATATCAATTAGCCCATTGCAGTGTTTCATTAACAGTGACAGTCTGTGCAGACATCACTTCTAATTTACAGGAATATTTTCTAATTATCTTCAAACCAGTTAAAGGCAAACATATTTTCTAACAAGTCAGGGCAGAAGACAGCTAGACAATATCAGGAGCCAGATATAAGCAAGTTGCCTTTCTCCATAACTGCATTTTAAGTTCTGTATCTTGGGCAGCATAGAATTTGAGGGGGTTTGACAGAACCCTGATTGAAGGAACTCGGAGTTCAAGCCAAAATCATCAGGACACAATGGTTTGTTTGTTAGTTAGTTAGTTAATTAGTTTATTTATTTATCCATTCAAGGGTATCCAATTCTTGGAGACTGCCTGGACAAGTCCCTGCAGTTTTCTTGGCAAGGTTTTTCAGAAGTGGTTTGCCATTGCCTCCTTCCCAGGGCTGTGAGGGAGTGACTGGCCCAAGATCACCCAGCTGGCTTTGTGCCTGGG